CTTTGTGCGCAGTCTTGTTGTAGTTAAGCCTTGATTGTTGTAGTTAATACTAAGGGGATTTGACCTCCAGGCCAACTGGCTGTGAGAATCAGCTGTGTCTGCAGTGGGAAAACTTCTGTCCTCTAGGGAGGTACTAATCTAGCCCTTGCCTGAGGCTATCTGGCAAATGGCTCTGTGCAGGGCTTGGGCGGGGCTGGTCGTACGGGATCAACAGAGTGGATGGAGAGAGCAGTTATGGCTGCTCTCAGTCCCATCCCCAGAGGCTCTGCCTCTCAGAGTCCCAGCAACCGCTGCAAACCTCGGAGAGAAAGCTGCCCTCGCATTCCGACCGATGCCAGACAGTCCCGCTTCTCCCGTTTGAGTCTGGGTCCCTAGAGACTCGCCCAGAACTGGAGCTCAGAATCTGAGACACCCTCCCAATTGAAAAAGACAACCGCGCCCTCAGCTACCAGCCTGCTGAGCATACCTCCGCACCTTTGTATTTTCCGCACTGCGCCTCCTCTGAGTCTCATATGCCGTTCTCTTTCCTTCTAGTTGAAGAATTTCCCCTCAGCCAGCTTTCCTGTGGTTCTGGGTGATGTCCGTTCCGTCTTTTAGTTGTATTTTGAAGTGGTTGTTCGAGGCAGCTAACTCCGGTGTTTACCTATGCCGCCATCTTGGTTTTTCTCCTATTGTACAATATTTTGTTTGAATATATGTTTTAATTTTGGGGGGTCTATATCTAGAAATGAAATTGTTGGATCATATGGTTATTATGTTTAACTTTTTGATGAACTGACAAATTGTTTTAAACAGTAGCTGCACCATTTTACATTCCTACCAGCAATGCATGAGGGTTCCAATTTCTCCACATCTTCACCAACACTTATTTTCAGTTTTGTTTTTTATATTTATGGCCATTCTTGTGGGTATAAAGTAGTATCTCATTGTGGTTTTGACTTGTATTTCCTTACTCATTAACTAAAAAATAAATAGTTATTCCAATGACTTTCCAGCTTAAATTTTGGAGGCTAACTTTCTTTAATAGTGATGTAACCGGACAACCAAGAGGTCTGGGTTACCTGTCACTACTTCAGCTAATTAAGCAGGGACAGTGTTGAATCATATATGACCATTCATTCCAATACTGCTGGCAGTATGGGAGAGCAGCAGGTCATCCATAAAAATCTGCTCTGCCTCTCCCCATAAGCCAGCTTCTTATATTGGGTAGGACAAAGATTATATGGGAAAGTAGTAATTTCAGGTATGGGAAAGTGGGCATGGGATAATCATTACAGGTTACAAGTCATGCAAGCTGGGGGGGAGAGTGTCACAGAGAGCAGGTGCCTCGATTACAGATAACAGGGGCTGGGGATTATAAAGAGCAGGTGCCTCCAGGACTAGATTGTCTCAGCCACAAGGTTCTCAGGAGGAGGATGGACTGCATTCCAATGTTAGCTCCCATGTCCCAGGGTGTATAACTCCCAGCAAGGTTAGGATGTGCTCTTTCTAATCAGAACAGAACCATCATGGTTAACAGAGCATGATTAGTATCCTATATAATAAAAGGGTGATATGCAAATTGACCCTAACAGCAGAAGGACTGGGAAGTACTGGTCACTATGATACACACTGACCACCAGGGGGCAGATGCTCAATGCAGGAGCTGCCCCCTGGTGGTCAGTGTGTTCCCACAAGGGGAGCTCTGCTCAGCCACAGCCAGGCTGATGGCTGCCAGTACAGTGATGGTGGTGGGAGCCTCTTCAGCCTCCTCAGCAGCGCTAAGGATGTCCGACTGCAGCTTAGGCCTGCTCCCCACTGGCAAGTGGACAGTCCCTGAAGGCTCCCAGCTGCCAGAGGGATGTCTGACTGCCAGCTTAGGCCCAATCTCCCAGAGAGTGGGCCTAAGCCACAGTCAGATATCCCCCATAGGGTCTCAGACGTGGTTAGGGCTGATCAGGCAGGCAGAGGTGGTTAGGGGTGATCAGGCAGGTGGGCAGTTAGGGGCAATGAGGCAGGCAGGCAGGTGAGCCATTAGGGGGGATGAGGCAGGCAGGAGAGTGGTTTGGAGCAATGAGGCAGGCAGGCAGAGTGGTTAGGGGTGATCAGGTAGGCAGGAAGGTGAACAGTTAGGAGCCAGCTGTCCTGGATT